TAAAACACCACGCGACGATGTTGTCTTAGTGCGGGGAGGGTTGCATAAAACTGACTACAATTAGACGGCGATCGCAGAAGGAGGTGCACCAAACAAAGCCTGGGCGGACGCTAGAGAGACGGCGGCCCACGCGGCACGGGACCAAGAAGAAAAGAAGCAAGCAGGCCGAAAGACCGCGCACACAACGCCAGGAGGCCGGGGCAAAAGGGGGGTGGGGGGAGTGTCGCCAGTCGTGGAAGGGGCGCGGGCCTCGCGGGCAAGGGGGAACGGGCGTGGGCAGAGCAAACGCACCGCATCGGCCGACATCCCGCAGCGAGGAAGTCGGTGGAGAGGATCGGGCGTCACGAAGGCGGGAGGAATCGACGGGGGGGAGGACGGAGGGACTCGGGGTGCCGAGAGCCAGGGCGGCTGCGGCCCTGCTGCGACCTGCAGGCGAAGTAAGAAGGGGGGGGAGAAATAGGCGCGGTTTCATCGCGAGGGCTTGCTTGGAGAGTTCGGGAAGTGAGAGCGGGTGTGGTTGAAGGCCAGGATCGAGCCGCGCACCGTGCAGCCGAGACCAAAGTTGCCGCGCACAGAGTCGTCGACATCACATTCTCGCCTGCTTCATGTTGCGCGCGAAGCAGGCTGCGCGGCCAGGTCGCCCAAGTCGCTCCTCGCCGTCCTCGCCAAGCATCGCCGGCGGCTGCGCGGAGGTGGGGAGGTGCAGTGTCTGGTGAGGGGGTGAGGGGCTGCGACGGGTCGGGCGGTAGACGGGGGAGAGAGCTGGGGGTGTGCAAAGAGGGAGGGGAGGGGCTGATGGCGGGCAGGAGAGAGGTGGGGGGGGGGGACGAGGGGCGGAAGGGAGGGGGGGGGGGGAGGGGCCGAAGGAGGGCCCATCCCATCGCCTCGTCCGGGGCGAAGCGGCACCTGCAGGGAAGGTTCCGGGAAGGTTCTGGGCAGGCCACGGTGTACACAGAGAGCGTGCGCGAGCTGCGCGCCTGCTCGAAGCCAAGTCCCTGTCGGCTCGCCCCGGGATCTTCACCCCTAAACGCCTCATGAGCAGCGCGGGGTTGCCCGAGCACTCAAGGGATGGATGGGATGTCCGAGCGCGCAGAGGCCTGCGTCATCATGACGATCAAGGGGAGGATGTTGACGATGAAGGAGATGGTGATGATGTTGACGAGGATGTTGACGAGGACGGGGATGGTGATGGTGATGAGGATGGTGACGAGGATGAGGGCGAGGATGCTGGTGAAGACGGTGACGATGGTGATGCTTGACTTGCTGACGACGGCACGAGGACAGTCATCATGATGATGCTTGCGGTGATGGTGATGAAGGGCAGGGGGCGAGGCACCTCTCCGCTCGCGCGCCGGGTAGATCATCCCTCTCGGGCAGATGAGCATCGAATCGACGCGAGCGAGCATTCCGAACAAACTTGCGGATGGCGAACGGGAAAGACGATGACTCGCCATATGCTCATGCGAGGCAGGCTTGGCACGAGGCCGGCGATGTAGCCGACGGCGGAGACCGCCCAAGTACGCTTGCCAAAGGTGCAGCCGCGACGTTGTCGCATTTCTCCGGGGTGTGTATTGGGGCTATTCTGGGCGGGCGACGGGCTTTGTGTCGATTGGCGGTGCTGCGTCTGTTGGGGACTAGCTTGGGATGGCTGGCGGGCCTCAAGTTGACGGACGGACACCTGCGAGGGCCGGGTGCGTCTCACGAAGCTCAAGCACCTCGTCACCGCCAACAAAGCGCGAGGAGTCCCAAAAGCTGATGTGTTGTGGGGAACGTACGGAGCACGAGACCGAGCTGGGAGCTGTGGCGAATGGTGAAAATGGGGAACGTGTCGAGCACGAGGGGGAACGTGCCGAGCACGAGGCCGAGCTGGGAGCTGGCGAATGGTGTTGAGGGGAACGTGCCGAGCACGAGGGGAACGTGCCGAGCACGACACCGAGCTGGGAGCTGTGGCGAATGGTGTTGAACCCTAAATCCCGCCGTCTAACTGCCATGTCACGGCCGGTCGGCCGCTGCTCTCGCCTCGCTGGCGGCGCGGTCTGGTGCCGCGGCGCCCAGCTCTCCTGTGGGCTCGCGGCGGCTCGCCGCCGCGGTGCCGAACAATGTGATCAGTCCGGATTCGACCCGGCGTGCCGCCGGTGCTTCCTCGCCGAATTTTGGCTCGACCAGTTTGTCGACAAAGTTGCCTCCGAGCTCATGCTGCTCGACTGCGCGGCGGAACCGGCCCATCGCGGCTGAGACGTGATGCGCCGGCACCGGGGCAACGGCGCGGGACCATTTCCAGGCTCTCTCGAGCAACCTCAAATTTGGCCGATTTTGTGGATCTCAACCCTGCTGCTCTCAGACCACAACCTCGCGGCCCGCTGCGCGGCTCTCCGAGCGCGAGAGGAGTCGTCTACGAGGCGGCGGCGAGCGCAGGCGGCGGCGGCGCGGCGGCGCGGCGGCGGATCGCGGCGCAGACAACGGCAGCAATCTGGCTGCTGCTTGCTGCTGCAGCAGCTGCTGCTGCGGCTGCTGCTCCGCTGCCGCTGATTGTGGACACGATCCCCCCGATAACCCTGCCCGCCCGCTCCGCCCCGCCCGCCCGCCTCTCCCCGCTTGCCCGCCCGCCCGCCCGCCCGCCCCGCCCGACCACCCATTCCCACTCCGCCCCGCCCGACCACCTCACATACCTTCATACCGACCAACTCACATACCTTCATATAGGCGCTCGAGACCTCCTCTCGCTGCCTACTCGCTGCCTCGAGGGAGGAGGGGAAGACGTAGGGCTGCATGCGCGCCTTTCCTGAGGCCCCTCCCCGAAAGGCAAGTGTTAGCCACAAGAAACCGAGACCCCTCCCCACCGCCCTGATCCCCCCACCCCCTTGCTCCCCTCCCCCCCTCGGGAGGGCCGAACTGAGGCGCCCGTGGGGACCCCGCACTTCCCTTCCCCCCTCGGAGGGCCGGACTGAGGCGTCGAGGGCCCCGCTCTTTCCCTCGCATAGCGGCCACTCTTCGGATCGCTGGTCGAGCGACCCGGGGGATGCCCCGCGCGCCTGACCCAGGCGCGAAAAACGAATCTGCGAGGCGAGGCCGCCCACGCGGCCCGATGGGGAGGAACGGGGCGAGCCCCCTCCAACCCACCCGCGCTAGGTCTCGGGGGACGAAGGGGTCACACCCGACGACCTCGGGAACTAGCCGGGGCAGTCGGAGAAGTGGCAACTCCGTGCACTGACGGTCGGCCGCCAGAAAACACGCCTCCGTGGCTCGGGTTACACCAATCCTCGCTACCCAACGCGGCCAAAGGATATCCACCTCGAGAACCTCGAGAGGTGTTGAGGGGAACGTGCCGAGCACGAGGGGATCAACTGCTGCTGCTTGGCGTTGCGCCTTCGGGGAAGGATGTGTGGTCCTCCTCTGTCAGCTGGCTGTTGGTGGTGAAGATGCGTGGCATGTACTGCGGGAAATCTTTTTAAAAGGACACATGGGGCTATCCGCTAGACCGGACGCGGGACCATCCACATCATCACTGGCTTGCGGCAATCAATACGGGCACTCTTGCATCAGCTCAGAGGGCTCAGAGCATGGCCCGCAAGCGCACAGGTGCCCGCACGGGACCGCAGCATGCGACTTGACTAATATCTAGACGCTAGCTAGACCGGACGCGGGACCATCCACATCATCACTGGCTTGCGGCAATACGGGCACTCTTGCATCAGCTCAGAGCATGGCCCGCAAGCGCACAGGTGCCCGCACGGGACCGCAGCATGCGACTTGACTCTCGCAAAACACACGATACACGTAATCTCGCCCCCCATCGTGGACTCGGGGGCAGCCGGCCGCCAAACCGAAAAACCAAAACAAAACACGCGGCAGCCGCTGCAGCCGCTGCAGGCCCCGTGTATGCGTGAGGTACAATATCTAGACGCTAGCTAGACCGGACGCGGGACCATCCACATCATCACTGGCTTGCGGCAATACGCGGGCACTCTTGCATCAGCTCAGAGCATGGCCCGCAAGCGCACAGGTGCCCGCACGGGACCGCAGCATGCGACTTGACTCTCGCAAAACACACGATACACGTAATCTCGCCCCCCATCGTGGACTCGGGGGCAGCCGGCCGCCCCGTGTCGAGGCCTGCGTCCGCTAGTGAGACGGCAGCAAGCGGCTCAGTGACTGGCAGATGCTGCTCCGCCGCCTCTGCTGCCTCTGGCCCGATCAAGCGCTCGATCGCGCCGACCCGCTCCTCGAGGCTGCCCTCGGTCGCCGCGCCGAGGCTCGCCTCCAGCCGCTCGACAAGCCGCATCAGGCACCCGCCGCCGGTCGACTCGCTGCTCACCGCCTCCTCGCACCGCGACACCCGGCGCGCCAGCGCCTCCTCCTCCGCATCGATCTCTGACCGGCGCAACGCCTCTGCTAGCTCCGCAGCCTCGCGCAGCGCCGCCTGCTCCGCCGCACCCGCTAGCTCTGCCGCCTCGCGCTCCGCCCGCCTTGCCGCCTCCTGCTCAGCAGCCAGCTGCGCCGCCCTCTCCTCCTGTGCGCGAACCTCTGCCGCAGCCCGCGCCCTCCGCTCCTCCTCGAGCTTGAAGGCAGACGGCGCCTTCTTCGCCTCCTTGTTCTTCCCCTTGGCCTCCTTCTTGGCCGCAGTTGCCTCCGCCGCCTTTGCGCGCCGCCTCGCCTTCTCCTCCTCCGCCCTCCTGTTGGCGGCCTCCTTCTCGCGCCGCGCCGCCTCTGCCTGAGCGGCTTTCCGAGCCGCCGCCGCCACCCGCTGCTCCGCAAGCTGCGCCGCCTCTGCTGCTCGCCTCTCCGCCTCCCTCGCCCGCAGCGTCTCCTCTGCCGCCGCTCGCTCAGCGGCCAGCTTCGCCTCCGTTTCTGCCGCAATGGCTCGCTTCTGCTCCTCCAGCGCCGCCGCATCCGCCGCCCGGCGCGCCTCGCGCGCCTCTCGCTCTGCCTCGCGCCGGCGCGCAGCCTGCTCGCGCTCTCGCGCCGCCGCCGCCTCCTCCCGCTCGCGCTGCTCGCGCCGCCCCTTGGCCTCGAGCGCCTTCTCTGCCGCCTTCTCTGCCGCCTCCGCCTCCCTCATTGCCGCTGCGTGCTCCGTGAGAGCGCGCACACACCCGGCGTGGTCCATTGCAGGAGCACCGGCGTCGTCAGTAGCCAGCTTGGCCCCCTCCTTGGCGTATTGCAGCGCGGACATGCCGTTCGTAGAGCGTGCCTTTGTGTCTGCGCCCGCCTGCAGTAGGCAGCGCACGACGGGGAGGTGGCCTTTGCCGGCGGCGTACATCAGTGCGTTCTCACCATCGTTGTCCTGCGCATTGATCTCCGCGCCGTGCCGTAACAGCAAGTCGACCACCCGCTCGTGGCCGTTGACGGCGGCGTCAATCAGCGCGGTTTCGCCGTCGTTGTCCTGCGCGTTGATCTCCGCGCCGTGATGCAGCAGCAGCTCGGCCACCCGCTCGTTGCCGCCGAGGGCGGCGGCCGGCAGCGCGGTGCGGCCTTTACTGTTCCGAAGGTCGATCGAAGCGCCACGCTGCAGCAGCGTCGCGGCCAGCCGCTCGTGGCCGTGGAGGGCGGCGGCCATCAGCAGCGTATTGCCGCTCAGACCCTCAACAGTGAAAGTCGCGTCCACCCGCCCGCCGCCGACGAGCCACGCCAGCACCGCCTTGTCGCCTTGGATAGCCGCCGCCGCGATCTCGTCGGGGACGGCGTCCTCGCCCGTTCCGCTCTCCACGCCGCCAGAAGAGGACGCGGCAGTTGGTGCCGCCGCTGCCCCCTTGCCCGAGGCGGCACCGCCGTCCGCCCCTGCGCCGCCCGCCTCGCCGATCTCATCGGGAACAGGCCCGCTGCTGCCGCCCGAAGCGCTGCCTGCCCCCGCGCCGCCCGCCTCGACCGCCGCCGCGTCGCGCCTCTCCGCCGCCACCTCGCCGAGAAACGATCTGCAGCGCCGTCTTGTCCGCCGTGTCTTTCAAGACGCCGACAATCCAACTCTCTTTCAGCTGGCCAACCTCACCTGGTTGGTGCTGAATTCCTCGGCCAGCGGAGTCAGGGAGCGTCTTTTGAGCGCGTGGGAGAAGGTGCTCGGGAGACGGCCGCCCCCGTCAGCGACCATCCAGTACAACGCTCGGCGGCAAGATTCCGGTCGATGCAGCAGGTTCAGCGGGAGAATGCGCAACGTATTGTCGTTATAGGAGATGGGAGCCAAGAAGGCCGATCTCGATCGGCATTTCATCGACGAGGTATCGATACGAGCCTCTTTGGCAGAGGAGCGAGAATGTATCTCGAAGAAGACCACCGGTCGGACGAAATCCGCGTGAGGTGCTACGACGGCCACTGGAAACAGAAGGGATCATTTCTCGATCGAGTTCACTGGGAGGGGATGCGTCAAGTTCAGCGACGGAGAGTTCCGTGACGGGGAGTTCGTCGATGGACATTTGGTGCAGGGAGTTCGGGTGTTTCTCTTGAATGGACGAGAGGAGATCCGCAAGGTCAACCCTCGCAACGGCAATGGAGGACGAGCACGGCAATGGAGGACATACATGGAGCAGGGACAGCCAATGATGGCCAGGTTGACAGAGACGAGTGACCCCATCACTCATGAGTCTGAGGCAATGCAGAACTGGTTTGAAGAGCAACGACGAGTCCCAGGCAGCTATTTCTGCATCATCATGGGGGGAATTCATCAACGACCAGGCACCTTGGTCCTCACGGACGACCTCTTGCGTGAGTGGCGCGCCAGTTCGGGGTACCAAAACTTCTGCAAGGAGAACAAATGGCCGTTGTGGTGTGTGTCAGAAGACGTGTACAGGAAACTCGATGCGGATCTGATCCGAAAGAACAACACTACGTGTGAGGGATTCCCGCAGCTGCCCTTCCAGTTCGCGTACGACTCGCTTCTGGACCGCATGTGCCGTAGCCATGAGCGGGACTCAGAGCTCAGAGCCATGCTCAGAGGCTGCAGCCACTATTCCATAGCGGGTCAGCAAGCCCTAAAACGGCGGGAGGGGTAGGGCTATATCGATAGAGCTAGAGGGCTCAACCACCCCTCCACCCCTCCACCCTCCACCCCTCCACCCTCCCGGAGCGAGAGGGGTCCGTCCTCGAGCCCTCCCACTTCCACCCCTCCGACCGGAGGGCTCGCCAGCCCACAGGTAGGGTGCCCACAGCTCGGCCACGAGCAATGTTGTTGTGTCCCCAGGCAGCACTGCTACCGCTGGCGTAATCTCTGTGCAGCACAAGGGCAGCTTCTCCCGCACTCTCGTCAGCACAGACGCGCAAACCACGCTAAAGGGCTCGGACATCCATGCAGCCGCGAGTAGTGCGACTGCTGAGATGCTGCTCCGGCAGGAGTTGGAAGAGAAGTTGCGGTCACAGACCAAGGAGCTCGCTTCTGAGCAGCGCTCTGCGAACGCTATGAAGAAGGCGCTCGCGTCGGCGCGGGATGAGCTTGCTGCGGCACAAGAGCTGAGGCGCTCCGACTGCGACAACCTGAGGAGAGCGCAGCAGGCTGCTAAACGCGACATCAAAGCGGCCGAGCGGATGGCCGACCAGGCAAATCATGCAGCTCGAGCTGAGTGTGAGTGGCGTATCGGCGAGATGCGGGCCAAGATGCAGACCGAGCTGCGCGAGCAGCTCGACGCGCTGCAGATTTCGATGGAGGCAGAGGCGAGGCGCGCTGATGCCGCAGAGGCGGAGAGGTCAAGGCTGTACGACAAGATGGAGGGGATTATGCGCACGCGTGAGGGGTTGATAGTCGCACTCGCAGAGGCGCAGCTCGGCAAGCACGAATATAGTGATTGTTAAGAGATATACGTAGCGTTACAGTCGTACGGTCGTCGACCCTCCCACCGTGTGGGCCGCCCGGACCCCGGAGAGCGCTGCGCGTGCAGACAGCGCTGCGCGAGCATTGGAGAGGCCAGCCCCCGGCTTCTCAGCAAGTCGCGAGTGCTGTGTCTCTGCCTGCCTGGTAGCTGGGTGTGGTGGGGGACTCTCTGGTGGCTTTTGGTTACAAATTTACGGATTTACGGATTTACGGATCCACCCCCCTCCCTCCCCGTCCCGTGACCCGGCCGTGAGACGCGCATCCGGGAATCAAGTTGGTGCCGGGAGCTACTCAAAGCGAAAGACGAGAAAGAGTGGAAGAAAAATATGCTCGACCGTTCTATGGGCGCAATCTTCGACCCTCCACAGATTAGGGAGTTGAAGGCTCAGATCCAGTCTGATCTATGTCGAGTGATCAATGCAATGTCGCCGTACGAGGTGCTAATGAATGCACCGTTCCACGAGACGCCCGCCACAAGCGATTTGTTAGATTGCGATCTCAAGTACGACGCAGATACTCTTGAGCACTTCAGCTCACCTTTCGGTTACGAAGGCCCGGAGTGTTCCTTTTCCTCTCTTTTCTGATTTGACTCCTGATCTCTTGATTGATTGACCTATTCTAGACGTGCCACGCCCCGAGATCGGTGTACGGTGTGTGTGTCGGCCTACCCGTCACAAATCCTTTTCCGTCGCTATCACTAGACACGCCACGCCCCGAGGGCGGGCCCGGCGCCCGTGGGGCGCCGGCCATTCTCCTCGAGTACCGATTAGAATTCTTACCGATTAGAAAGAAGACTCTGCCTCTGCCACGGAGCCCTGCCGCCACCGAGGCCACCCTGCCGCCGCGAGCTTTCCTCTACCGCCGCTCCTTCCTCTGCCCACGCGCCTTCTCCCCACGCACGATGCTGCTGCTCGGCTTGCTGCAGGTTGCCGCGCTGCTGCGCCAGCCGCCTCTCCTATTACCGCCGACGCCAAAGCCACCCCACCAGTATGTCGTCGCGTGCGCCGACGCTGCCGGCCCCACGGCCGCCGCCGCCCCGCCGATGCGAGTCATCGACGCCGCGGCCATCATCGGCGGCACTTCCGTTGGCGGATCCTTCTTGGCGCTGCCCATGGTGACGGCGCCTCTCGGTCTTGGGCCGTCGTTGGTCGGCATGTTCGCTGCGTGGGCCGTCCTCGCCGCATCGGCGATCGCATACCTCGAGGCGGCCGCCATCGTGATGGAGAGGGAGGGCGAGGCCGAGGGCGCCTCGGTCGTCGCGGTCAGCAGGCACGCCTTTGGTGGCGCCGCCGCCACCGTCGTGTCAAGCCTCTTCCTCGTCCAGTGCGTGGTCGTCATCGCCGCCCAGCTCGCAAAGGCGGGCGAGCTGCTCTCCCTGCTCGCTCCGGTCGCCGCCGCCGCCGCTCCAGCCGCCTACCCCGCCGCCTGCGTCGCGACCGCCGCCCTCTCTGCCGCCGCTGTCTTTGGCGCTCGCCGCGCCCTCGTCGAGCGTCTCAACACGGGGCTAGCGGCGACGCTCATTGTCGGCCTGCTCTGGCTCTCTGGCCGCGCCCTTGGTGGCGCGCTGCCGAGCGGCGCGGCGGCCGCGTCGCGCCTGGGCGGGGCCGACTGGTCCGCGCTGCTGCCGGGAACGGCGGCGGCGGGCTGGCCGATCCCGCTCTTTCTCAAGCTGCTCTCGTTTGGGCAGGCCGTCCCCGTCGTCGCCGCCGGCCTTGGCCCGCGTCGGCTGGGCGCCGCTCGTGCCGCAGTGCTGGCCGGCTCGGCGGTGCCGCTCCTCCTGTCTGCGATGTGGGCCACCGTGTCGGCGCTGCTCGCCAGCGCCGGCGCGGGCGCAAGCGCGGACCCGACGGTGCAGCTCTTGGGCGCAGGCTGGGCGAGCGCGCTGCCGGCGGTGGCGGTGGCGAGCGGCGCCATCGGCACGCGCCGAGATGCCGCCGAGATGCAGCCGAGATGCAGCCGAGATGCAGCCGAGATGCAGCCAGATACCGCCGAGATGCAGACGAGATGCAGCCGAGAGATGGAACCCGAGCTTTCTAGCCGGAAGGGCGGGGGGCAGCGGCCCTTGCTGGGCCCCTTGTCGGAGAGACAGCGGCGAGCAGGTGCAAACCTGCTCCCGCGTATTGCAATAGGCACTTCGCTCATCGCAAACTACCTCACCGTCCGCCAGTTCTGCGCGGATGCCTTGCGCGCGCTACAGGGACGCGGGGCGGGCGCGCCGCCCGTTGGGGTGCCCGTCGCCGTGCTCGCGGCGCTGAGTTTGCCCGCCGCCATCGCGTGCGGCGGCGCGCGGCTGTACTTGCCGCTGCTGCGCTGGTCTGGCGCCTTCCCCACCACCATCCTCTACGGCTTGCTGCCGCCCCTCGCCGCCCTCGCGCTCGGCCGCCAGCGCGGAGGCTCCTCCGCGCGTGCGAGCCGCTTGGCGCTGCGCGCGCACGCAGCCCTCACCGCGGCACTCCTCGGAGTCAACCTCGCGCTCGCGAGCAACGTTCGCGGCTGTTGGCGCCTCGGCGGTCTGTTGAGATGAGCGAAGAATACCGTAGAAGGCTGTTGCGGTGTTGGCTGTTTTAGCAAATCAACTCTCCCTCGCACAGGCCCCAGGCGGCGCGGCCTTCCTAGATCCTACCTTCCTACCCAGGAAAAATAGGCAATTTTTCGGTGCTGGTAGCCCCCCAAAAACAGGCGCGCGCAGCGCGCCCAGGGGGCGCCGCAGCGCGGTCCCACCGTGTATAGGAGCAGGGGAGAGAAAGGCCCAGTGAAAGCCTTTGAAAGGGAACGAGGGAAAGAGGGGTGCATTGTGTGAGAATTATATTGCGCACAAGAACAGAACATGTATACACGTCTAGCATGCGGGCGCAAGCAACACGGTGCCCCCCTGCCCCCCCCTCCCAGGCGCAGGGACAAACGACGCGCTCGCGCGCCGACTCCCTTTCTGACAGCGGCGGCAATCACTTCCCTCCCTCCACATGGAGGCCGCTACAGCGACGCGCACGAGGGCGGCGGCCAGAGCTGCGGCGGCGGCAACGCGCCTCTCGATGCTGTCTAGTTGATCGGCTTGAGGCAACTCGGGTAGCCCTCGACCGACGGGCCCTTTGCGTAAAAGGCGGCGCCGCTGGCCTTGCGTGAGCGGCACTTTTTGCGCAGCTCGGCGTCCTGGATCTCATTGCCGGAGATGGTGAGCGACGTCAAGGTCTTGTTGACATCGAGCATGGCCGCGATGGCCTTCGCGGTCAAAGGGGAGACAGGCTCACCCGGGTTGGCGGGGGCGGGGGCGGGGGGCAGGGGCGGGGGTGGGGGCGCGGGGCGGGGGCGTACGCGGGGCAGGGGCGCGGGGCGGGGAGGGCTGGGGGGAGGGGGGGGGGGGTGTGGGGCGGAGGGTAGAGCCTTGGCGCCCTCGTCGCCGATGTAGTTGAGGGAGAGGTCGAGGGACTGCCGCGCCAGCCGCAGCGTCAGTCGGGGAAGGGAGGGTGCGGGGGGGGCCAAAGGCGGCACAGCAGGGGGGTACGCGTATGTCTGGGCCCACTCCACCCCCTGCTGGTGCGCTTTGCGCGCGCGGGCGCACCTTGAGCGTCTCGTTCGCCTTGAGGCCCTCGGCGAGCGCCTTTGCGCCCTCGTCACCGAGGTTGTTCTCGTTGATGTTGAGCTCGACGAGGGTGGAGTTCGTCTTGAGGTACTCGCCTGGGACGGGGAGGAGGAGGCCGGAGCTCACCCGATCGTGTCCCCCCGCGCGCGCACACGGCCCGTCTCTGGCCGCAGACGCACCGAGGGCCTCGACACCCTGGTTGCGGCAGCAGTTGTTCCGCAAGTTGAGCTTGGCAACCTTGGGCATCGTCTTGAGCGCCTGCCGATGCGACGGCGGGGGCCGTGCCATCAGCCGGCAGCCGTCCCGGGTCGGAAGTGTTCGGCAGCCTCCCCTTCCCCGCCAGCGGGTGCCGCAACGCCACTCCGGTTGAGCGACTCCCCGTGGAGCGCTGTGTCGCGCGCAGTCGCGAGCGGCCGTCACCTGGACGAGGGCATAGAGGCCGTCGGCGTCGAAGCCGTTGCCGCGCAGGTCGATCGCGGTGATGTGCGGGTTGCCCGCCATCATCTCCGAGAGGATCTCAATCCTGCGGGCGGAGGCGTCCGCAGTGAGCCATGCGCTCGCATCCGACGAGAGGCGGCGCTTGCCGCCCGCCCCTACATCTGGGCACACGCGCGGCGAGGCGGTGCGCGCCTGGAGCCCTGCAGCTGCCGGCAGCTTGCGTCCACCTCGGTCACTGACGGGTCCTTGTTCTTGATCTTCTCCAGGTACTCGGGGTCGGGCATGAGCTGATAAGACGTCACCCACCACTCGCGGTCGAGCGTCTCCTTGTAGTTGGGGTTCATGTACTCATACGTGACGGCCGCCATGGTTGGTTGGGCACGCCTGCGCGGGAGTGGGCGCGGCGCGTCGGGCGAAGAGAGGCAACCGGGGGGCACAGGCGGACTCACCCTTTCGCGCAGATAGGACCACAAGCAGGATTCAGCCGGTTGTATTTTTTTGTGGGCGCTTAGCCTTGGATGTTGTGTGTGTGTGTGTGTGTGTGTGTGTGTGTGTGTGTGTGTGTGTGTGTGTGTGTGTGTGTGTGTGTGTGTGTGTGTGTGTGTAACGACACTTACACTGCTAGAGATGCCTTTCGGGGCCCAGAGACAAAACTTCTGTGATGCCATGCGTGACCTAGTAGTGTCCCCAGCTATGGGCGTGTCCACGTTGGAGCCAGGTGTGGTGTGGGCGCGAGAATAGCTCCGCCGTTCATGGAGGCAACCGATGCGAGTCGACTGGTGTGTGTCGTCGTGGTTTCGTATCAAGAATACTCACTCACTCACACTTCGATGTTGTGCCCTCTGGGCGGTCGAGTTGGTCGAGCTGGCGGGCAGAGAGCCGGCCGCCAAGAGGGCAGCAGCGGAGCGTGGTGGAGGCGAGCGCGCCACAAGCAAAAGGGTTAACCTTTTGCGCCCTCTCGCCGTGAGCTCAAAATAGGCCTTTAAACGCAAGGCGGACACAAGCACATCGCTCTCTCGGTCCCCACAGACATCCCGCACACCCGCCGCACACCCGCCGCCCCCGCGCGCGCCCCTGCTTTTCGTCGGTACCTCAGCCTTGCTGGCTAGGGCGGTGTGTGTGTGTGTGTGTGTGTGTGTGTGCTCACTCACACACACACACACGCTAGGGCGGTCAGCGCAGCCAGACCGCGGCTTTTTTTCAGTTATGTAGCTCTTACGAACATACCCGAGGGTGAACTGCTGACAGGGTTTGCGATGAGAAGCGATCCGAACGTGGCATTCGGGTGCACTTGGAGCACTTGGAGTGCAGTCAGTAACCTCACACATCGGGTGATTAGATCACTTTAATTCGATAACAGCTTAACAGGGCTTCGATGCATCGAACAAAACAAAACTCTTTGTCTTATAGCTCCCGGCCCTGGATGTGAGGTTGCCGACTGCACTGTGGACTGCACTCCAAGTGCTCCAAGTGTCAAGCGCAACAACTTCAACCTGCTGCTCCACGAGACGTTCGGGCCGGCGGCTTCTCGCCCACCGCTGTTCTCAAGCTGCGCCGCCTCGCGCGCAAGGTCGCGCGCGGCAGCATCGACCGCACGGCCTACTCGCCCAAGTACTCGCTCTCTTTTATGTCCCACCCTGAGGGAGGGTGTAGAGGATGTAGAGTGTAGAGCGCTGTAGAGCTGTAGAGATGTAGAGCGCTCTGGAGCGCTGTAGAGCTGTAGAGCTCTACATCCGCCGCGTGACGAGGCGCCTCCGTTGTAGAGCGATGTAGAGGCGCTCTACAACGTGAAATCTCTACAACAAACTCTACATCATAAGCGTCGAACGAGGCACGGTCGCTCTCCGACATGAGGCGCGTTGCACTTGCCAGTGCTGCCCTGGCCTTCTGTCTGCCCAATGGGTAGGAGGTGCCTCTGCTGCTATGGCATGCCTCACGGCTGCGACTGGCCGGCGCCTCGGCGCGTCAGCTCGGCTCGGCGTAGCGATAGTGGCCAGCGCAACTCGCCTGGACTCAACGCTCAGCCAGGAGCTCCCGCACGCGCTGGCGCGAGTCATGGCGCATGCAACGCGCAGCAATGCTCGCCTCGCCTCGCGCAAATGCGACCGTCCTCGCAGCCGACAGTCCACCGCCTGCTAAAGAAGCACAGCGACGAATGCGGCACCGGCGACACATGGCAGGCTGGTCATGACGCAGTTATAGGGTCTTGTGTGCCGTCGGAGTGACTCTGTGTGTGTCAGTGATAGTCAGGGCCGTCCATCAGAGCTCCAGTAAGCTCGGAGACACCCCATTAGCGCGGCTCGACCTCTTTGAGTCACTGCCTTCCCGGCGGTTTGGCTGTAGAGCCTCTACAACAAACTCTACAGCAAAATCGCGCTCTACATCGCTCTACAACGGAGGCGCCTCGTCACGCGGCGGATGTAGAGCTCTACAGCTCTACAGCGCTCCAGAGCGCTCTACATCTCTACAGCTCTACAGCGCTCTACACTCTACATCCTCTACACCCTCAGGTCCCACCATGCAGAGCGCATCTCTCTCTCTCTGTTGTGCGAGACGTGTACCGCGCCATTCGCTCTCACCTCGGAGCAGGCGGACATCGCTTCCAGGGAGGGGGGCGCGCTTCTGCTCACACCACATGCTAGGGGGGGGGTCCGACCCCCCCAGAGGCTTCACCACATGCTAGGGGGGGGTCCCGACCCCCCCAGCGCCTCCACCACATGCTGGGGGGGGGTCATGGCCGAGGACCCCCCCAGAGACTCGTGGTCAGGCCCTCCGGGCCCTTGATTTTGCGCCTCATTTCGCAGCATTTTCGAGGGGAAAATCATCCTTTGGAGCTACATGAGCCTTGAGACTGGTCAGATTCCCCCAGATATTGGACTTTCAGCCACGATTTCACAACTTTGGGGGCAAAATCGGCTCTCTGGCGGCTATTCCTAGCCCACGAACCGCTGGGGGGTGCCCACCACATGCTAGGGGGGGGGGTCCGGCCCCCCCCAGAGGCTTCACCACATGCTAGGGGGGGGGTCCCGGCCCCCCCAGCACCTTCACCACATGCTAAGGGGGGGGTGGGGCGTGAAGCGCGCCCCCCTCCCTGGAAGCGATGTCCGCCTGCTCCTGGCAACGCTGTCTGCACGTCTCGCGCGCGCGTGAACAGGGCAGGCCCCGAGGCCCCAAATGATGTGTGAGTGTTAGAGTTGTTTGGTATTGCTAACAATCTCTCTCTCGATCGAGACTGGCGAACGAGACCACCTATGCTATTCACCGCGCACGGCTCCGTGCACGGACGGCGTGCACGGAGCGCGGACGGAGGTACTAAGGTAAGATGGTATTAATAGAAAAGAGAGTTTTGTTTGATTGTAAGTGCTTCGCCGTCCTCGCAGGAGTCGCTTAGGCGGCTCGAAACGGCCTTGTCGTCTGTGAGCTTTGAGCTGTGAACGGGCCTTCTATCTAGGCCCGCGGGTAGTTAGTCTCCCCCCATCCCCAGGGCCTCCAGGGCTCGCACCTCAACCTCTCACAGACCAGCGCATAGCGCCATAGGACGTATTTTCTTCTCATAACAAGGCTGTGAAGGTTAGCCGCGCAGTCAAGGCTGGGATTCCGACAGTCACCGGCAGCCATGAACGTTTCAACTGCAACACGCCGAGATGAAGAGGCGTGGCAAGGCCGAGGCGACGGGGCGGGAGCACAGCAATCAAGAGGCTGCGTCTGGCGGCATGGAGAGGTGGCTCGAGCCGGAGACGGTAGGAGAGCTCGCAGAGACGTCCCACTTCACCGCAACCGAAATATCCGGCCCCCTCGCCCAGCGATGGTCGGCCGTTGCTGACGGCGATGGCCGCGCCAATGCCGATGTCGTATGCACGCTTCCAGAGCTTTCGGCCTATCCTCTGGCGAGACGAGCCCTTGCTCTCCACAACCGGGGACAGGCCGGCGTGGTGAATTTTGTCGACTATGTCCTCTGCATGTCTGCGCTGAGCGGGCGAGCCACACCCCTTGAGAAGCTCCAACTCGCATCCAAGATGTACCTCGATGGCGATGAGTCCTGCACCTCGGATCCCGACAGTCTTTTTGACGTGCTCAAGCTCGTGGTGGGGCGGCGGTACTCCGACGCGGCTCTCGACGCCATTGCAGAGGACCTCCTTCAGCGTCACAACGGGGCACGGCTCTCCATTGCAGACCTTGAGCAGCTGATCACTCCGGTCGATCTCGCCAAGCTCACTCTGTGAGAGACGTTCCGCCCCGAGACATCCGTGCGCGGACTGCGGTTGTCCTCAACTTTTCGAAGATTCGCCCCACCCCACCCCCTCAGCCGCACGCCTGACGGTGAGCAAGTGCTGCGGCTCTGCTTTCAGTCCGCCAATCGCGGCAAGCAACTCCACGCCACGTTGGTCGCCCCCGACGGCTCAGGCATCGCAACCATCGATATCGAAGGGTCCAAGTCGTTGCGATCCTCAGTCGGGGAAGGGATCAAGGCTCTGGCTCAGGGACGCAACTTGGGTGATGAGGACGCCCCTTACCCTTCGATCCTTGTGAGCGCGGTAGGCCAGGAGTTCGGGTCATTCGTCGGAGGGACCAGGCAGTCGGGAAGTGGAGCTGCCGACTCCGGGAAGTGGAGCCGCAAGGACGGCACCGGCGGGGCTGTGCTCCTTGAGCCCGAGCTCGACCCGGTTTGCAGTTGTTTCGGCGGCGGCTGCGCCGTCTACCGCTCCCCCCCTGAAGTCTCCCGGGAGGAGAGCGTGCTGGGCAAGAAAGAGATCCCGATGGTGGTGGCCTTTGTCGCGGCGCCATCCGGTGCCAAGCCGGTCGCGGACAAAGTAGACCCATCGCAGCTGCCCGCCGGGCGACGTGGCGACGATCCACTGCTTGCCATCCTGCATCCACCTCGTCTCAGCTTGCCGGCGAGAGTTGCGCCGCTCTTTTTCAGCTTGCCTCTCAACAATTTTGATCTCTCAGATCTAGACGCCAAATTACACATACATCATGCTCCACTAACAGGGGATCACATAACAGGGGATCACATAACAGGGGATCACACCACTGCGCTGTACTCGAGCGTCGAGGGAGCCGGCGTGAGCCGTGATGCACGGGACTCGCGGGGCGGGGCTCCTGCAGCCCACCGGGGAAGCGGTGCGGTGTCGCTCGCACCTCGCAACCTCAAACTCTTTTGGCGCTCGTGCACCAGCGCGGGGCACACCACGCTCCGTGCTGTCCGCGCTCGCTTCTCTCGCGCAGCGGTCTCGATCACGCGCCGTTGGCGCCGTCGCTAGTGACGCTCCAGCGCACGTACCACTCGACGGCGTCGAGGGGCAGCATTACGAGCGAGAAGGGGAAGGGGATGCCGAAGCCGAACTGCCACTGCACGTAGAAGCCGAGCGCGGCGAGGACGTAGCCGACCGCCTGATCACACCGCAGGATTGTGAAACGGCGCCTGCTGCAGGCGGAGCACGAAAAAAGAACAATGGCGTCGCGAGGCGCCTCGTCGAGGTACGTCTTGTCCGGCTCGAGCGACAAGCCGAGGAAAGACTTGTGCCCACGCCGGTTGAGCCACGCACACACGCCGCGCGAGAAGAGCAGACCGCCGCGCAAGCCGGACTGGGCGGCGGAGACGACCTCCTGGAGCTTCCACGCAAAGTAGACGAAGAGCGCCTGCATTACCCAGGTCTGGTTCGGACTTTTGCGGGGTATGGTATTGTACACGAGAGTGTGTACGCACGCGCGAGGAGTATGGTATGGTATGGTATGGTATGGTGTGGGCAGGTGTGGTGTGGTGTGTGTGTGTGTGTGTCGGGAGAGAGACAAGGCGGAGAGATGCCTTGGTGCCCGTCTTGATGCCGACGGGCAACCACGCGCGAAACTCTGTGGAGAGGAGCGGCGCGACGAGAGGCAGGAGCAGCTTGCACACATAGTACTCGACAAACCTGCCACAAAGCACGCTCGTTGGCGAGGGAGGGCGGCTGTGCACGGGTGCGCACGACGCCGCGACGCACTGGCTGCACGAGAGGGCGAGGTTTATTGTCTTTGCAAACTGGACGCGCAGCACGCCCTGCACCGAGAGCCAGCCGACGTAGAGACCGCCCAGCGCCGCGGACAACCGCTGCGGGTCGCGCACCGCACCGGCAGCCACACGCACCTGGCGCCACGAGAGCAGCTCGGGCTGAGCCGAGGCTCCGCCGAGATTGAGCGAGTTGCGCCGAGACTGGGCGAGAGGCGCCGCGGGCCTTGCGCTCGAGCAGCTCCGAGGTCGGGATCTGGTTCACATCGGCGACGCCGTCGCCGTCCTCGTCCTTCGCGTCGTCCTAACAGAGGTAGGAGAAGGCTGACAGGGAGGTTCGACGCGTCGCCGCCACAAGTAACCCCTCCGCGTCGTTCCTTGGTCTGCGCCTCCGACATCGCCACCGCCTCCTCGTAGATGTGTTGCAGCTGCTGCCGCGTCGTGCTCCAGCCGGTCATGTAGAATGCCTCCGCGGCCGCGATTGAGGCGCAGTACCCGCCACCGAAGAAGCAGAGTCCGAGGCCCATCGCCGCCTGGAAGAGGTCGTAAGGCAACGCTGCGAGGAAGGCGTAGATGAGGCTGAAGAGCCTGATGTAGACCGGCCCGACGACGTTCAGCACTTTGATCAGGACGACGGCGACCTGCGGGCGATGCGGCAGGAACGCATCGGAACGCCGGCCGTCGAAAGGGTGAGGTGACGTGCGGCATAATCACATACCGGTGTGAGGACGGGAGCCGCCTTGAGGATGGCTTCGGCAATCTTTGGAGGTGCTCGCGACGAGATGTCGCTGACGAGGAGGTCGAGCCTGTCCTCGTGCGTCAGCAACGTGCCCGGCGGCGGTGGCTTGGGCTTGGGCGGAGGAGGAGAAGGTGGCTCAGTGATGTCAGGAGATGGAGCGTCGGTCTTCTTGCGGTCGGCGAGCTTGCCGAAGAGGAAGGCCATGACGTGTCCCAGCGACCGGTCGCGGGTTCTTCACCTCCAGGGCGCGATGAAACCAGGATGAAACGGAAAAAATAAGCATCTTGTGCTGCTGTTCGCGGCAGTGAGAGGCTGCTAGCGCACCACACACCTCTCCTTAAAATCCCTGTGTGGTGGCGGCGTGCCGTCCTCCCATCCCTCCCTTGGGTTGCGTGTTTTCTTTCTTTCTTTCTGAGAGGCTGCGGCGGTGCGAGGCGGGCTGGCTGGCTTCTATCTACCCTCCCTCATGTCCAACACGGTGTGGGCGTATGCGACGGCAGAGCATTATCACCGGAGGAACTGCTTGCTTGCCGACTGCTTGCGCTCACAGCTGCACCAGTGGCAAGAGAGACCCAGTGGCAGCTCTGGCTCTTCCTGGAACGAGGGACAGATGCATGGGCAGCAGCACCTCCTTTCTGACTCCCTTTCCGACTCCCAGCGCCAGCTCTGCTGCGACGCTATGGTGGCGACCTCAGCTCGGCCATCACGCTTGCAGCGCTCGGCTGCTTGCAGCTGCCCTGATGAGCAGTGTGAGCACCGTCCGGCCGGGCTTTGCGAGAGGAGCATCGCTCGAGCCCTGCAGTGCGCTGGCTACTCGCTCGACCTACGACCTGGCTCTGCCCTCGTCACGCATCGCGATCGAGGTGGATGGCCTACTTTTCCTGCTGCACGGCCGGGGCGTACTGATAAGCGTTCCATTCTACGAATGGAATGGCCTTTCGGTGAGGGGGTTGATGGGGCCCCAAAAAAAACCATTCTGAGTGCGGGTTCAGGCTCGTCGTGGCGTGCCGTCAGGCTGCGCGTCAGGCTGCGTGCACGGCTGAATAGACTGGCTATGGCCTCCTGCGGCCTGCCATCATGCTCGCGGATCTGCCAAGGTCAGTTCAACTACTGCTCACGCGCCCACGCGCTCGAGGCGGAGCTGTTGAGTGGCGGTGTTCAGGCGGACGCCGAGCCCTCATATGAGGTGCTGCAAGCGCTGGAGACGCTCGGCGGAGGAGCTGTGCCGACTGGGTTGAGCGACGGAGATCTCGCGCGGCTGCCCCGCAAGCGAGTCGTGCTTCTCCCGCGCCGGACAACGCGTGCGTCTGCAGGTCGACCTGCGGACGACAAGTCTGTGAACGTCGAAGCTGGAGGCGCGGACTGCCTGATCTGCCTGCAGGCCTTCACTGAAGGCGAGGAGCTGGTCTTGCTACCCTGCGGCTCTGAGCACACATTCCACGAGGGGTGTGTCATGCAGTGGCTCAGGCAGAAGCCAACGTGCCCCGCCTGTAACCGCGATTGCCGTTCGAACATCCCGCCGCAAAGGTGAACGTGTGCCCGAGTCGCACGGGCTCGGCTGAAACGGGGGCGGCCCACCCAGGAAAGTCTGAGTCGAGGAGGACAGTGCACAGGAACGGGCTTACTCTCTTCTTTCGCAGGAACGGGCTTATCTGCCGACTGTTGAGCTATCAGCCCGCGCCGCGCGTCGCGCGCGTCGCCGCATGTTTGGGGCTCGCCCGAGATGGCCAGTTCTCTCGCCCTCCCTGGCCCAGTCGGCAGCCGCTCTGGCCTCTGTGCGCCGGGGCGGCGTTGTGTTGGGGCATAGGGATCCTTTTGTTTTCTGTGTGCCATTCCGCAAGGTGGTCCAACTCGGTATGCTCCCTGGCCCGATTTTCCAGCCCCAGGGTTTGCTTGTTAAATTTGAATCGTGCTTTGCGACCGAGTTCTAAAATTCTTTTTGGCCCGAGCTCGCCGCCGATCGTCGGCCTGGCGCCAGACCGCAGACGCTGGAGGTTGGCCAAAGTACAGGTTTCGATCCGGGCCACCGCAAATTTTGATCAGCAAATTTCGAGGAGCGGCCGCAAATTTTGAGGTAGATTTTGATTGTCAAAACGTGTCCGTCTTGGCACAGGATAGAGCATATAGGCGGCGAACACCCAGGTGCGCAGGGACATCGCGACTCTGCCCGCTCGCTCGACCCTTTTGCCGCGAGAGGGCGCCGGCCGCGTGTAAGAGGTGGCTGGCGCCCTGAGGCGGCAATTGAGGGTGGCGTGGCTGGGGAGTGAGGAACGCTACTGGCGGCGTGACAGGGCCTCTCTCGATTGCGTGTGCCGCCCATCGGCACGCGGGTGCGCAGACATCGCGACTCTGCCGCTCGCTCGACCCTTTTGCCGCGAGAGGGCGCCGGCCGCGTGTAAGAGGTGGCTGGCGCCCTGAGGCGGCATTTGGTGGCGTGGGGAGTGCGGAACGCTACTGGCGGCGCGACAGGGCCTCTCTCGGTTGCGTGCGCCGCCCATCGGCACGCGGGTGCGCAGACATCGCGACTCTGCCCGCTCGCTCGACTCTTTTGCCGCGAGAGGGCGCCGGACGCGTGTAAGAGGTGGCTGGCGCCCTGAGGCGGCATTTGGTGGCGTGGGGAGTGCGGAACGCTACTGGCGGCGCGACAGGGCCTCTCTCCGCTGCGTGTGCCGCCCATCGGCACGCGGGTGCGCAGACATCGCGACTCTGCCCGCTCGCTCGACCCTTTTGCCGCGAGAGGGCGCCGGCCGCGTGTAAGAGGTGGCTGGCTGCCTGGCGCCCTGAGGCGGCATTTGGTGGGGTCAGCGTGCGGTGCTGAGTCTTACTCGTCGGCGTTGGGGCCAGATCCCAGCGCAGAACTCTGCAACGCTGGCATACAAACACAAGAAGACTAACCCTAACCCTAACCCTAACCCTAACCCTAGGTCTCAGCGTGCGGGGCTGAGTCTTAGTTAGTCGTCGGCGCTGTGGGGCCAGATCCCAGCGCAGAACCCTGCAACGCTGGCATATACAGACACAACAAGACTAACCCTGACCCTGACCCTAACCCTAACCCTAACCCTAAACCCTAACCCTAACCCTCTAACCCTAATAACCCTAACCTATAACCCCACCCCCCAACTCCACACCGCAAATTTGAAAGATCTTGATGAAAATCAGGCCCGACTGCAAATTTCTTCAAAATTTTCGCAGGCGCTCCGCGCCTGCAGATTTTGAAATAAATTCGACAAAATTGGTACCTGGCCCAAGCTGGAGGATGCCAGGCGCCCGCCCGACTTCTTTGCCATGGCCCATGCCGGCGAGGCCGAGGGCCCAGGCCGCCCTCCCCGCGGCTCCAAGAGCCCGCGCGATCAGCAATACCGCAGAGCCGTGCACGCGGCTCACCACTCACACTTGCTGGGCACCAACCTTTGGGTCCAGATGCCGACCCCTCTGCAAACAAACGAGGGGAGAGGGACGCCTCGCGATACTACGGAGGGCGGCGACCTCGACCGACTCGATGGAGGACCCGTCGCCAGACGACGCAGGGCAGAAGACGGTGAGGCGGAGCAGACGCGCAGGGCGAGACGAGGGAGGGAGCAGGACTTTGCGGAGATCAGCAGGAGGATGTACGAAGAGATTAGGAGCAGCAGGGACCCGAGGGACCATGTGGAAGACGGCTAGTGCTAGTCGTCTACTAGTCCCCCATCGCGGGAGGACGACCCCGGCTAGTCGCCGACCACACCCTCAACCACAAAGAACCCTGCACAAAGATCGTGAGGGCGGGGGCCTGTTCCTTTTTACCCATCTCACAGTAGAGAGGTGTCCGTTTTTATTTATTTATTTATGCGATACTACGGAGGGCCTCTCGACCTCGACCAAACGCGGTCAGACCACTCCAATCCCTACCACAGAGCGATGGTGGCTGGGTGACAGTAAAAGAAATTTAGAACAAAGCTCCCTCTCACGACACTGCTCTGGTGCGCGCCAGAAGAAGAATTTTACAGGCGCAATCCCCAAATTGGCCTCCCCGCTCCGGATGACAAATCAACAAAAGAAGACATAGAGCGCCGTGGTCGGAGGCGAGGGCGAGCAGCAAACCAAATCTCCGCAGCTCCCTCACGGCTCTACTCCGTCTCACGCGTGATCGCGAAGCGCAGCATGCACGCGCGAGATCTCGAGAGCGGCGCGACGACAACAATCCCTAACCCTAACCCTAACCCTAACCCAAAGTGCGAAGAACTCGGGGCGCATTCACCGAGAGGTGGCCTCGACGGACGGCTGGTTTCTCCATTCCGATCCAAGCGGCCCGTTCTAGGACCTGCACAACGGCTTGGAACAGATGAGAAAAAGAAGTCAATGGGAAGAGCACGATGCGGCGCGGGCTTTCAGACAGGATCGATGCATCCTGGGCTGGTGTCGCCCTCGCAGTACACCCTAAGCCCTGCCCCCCATTCATTGGGCTTAAGCCCTGGCTTGCTTGGGCGACTGACCGTCACTTCTCCGTTGCCTGTAGAAATGCCCCATCCGTCGCCGAAGCAATCGGAGAAGAAGCAAGGCGAGGGGTACGAGGAAGGAACATTCCTCGGAAGGACCCGGCAATTCTTGCAGTCAAACTCCTCGCCGGAGAACATGCTCCGACACTTGACGGTTTTGACGCGGTTGTTGTTGTGCATGGAGGGATTGGCTCCCACGTAGACCCCTCCACAGCACCGCCCAATGCCATTTCGCTCTCGCTCCACCCAATCAATAGGTCCCGGGGAGGGGCAAGGACTGCTACTGTAGTGGCCTCCGTACGTATAGCCACACCGCTCGCGGCCGGGAAGCTGGGAGATGGACTCCGCCCACGCACGGATGGTCGCCTGATCGAGGCCCCCAGGCGCTGTTAGGCAGGACTCCTCGGCGTCGGGGGTGCCGTTGCCATCGCCGTCTGGATCGAGGTAGTCGGGGATGCCGTCACTGTCCGTGTCGGCCGTGCCCTCATCGGCGTCGGGGAAGCCGTCGCTGTCCGAGTCTTTGGGCGGTGACGGAGGCGACAGAACAGGCGAGGAAGAGGGCGGCGGCGAGGGCGAGGCGGAGGGAGGCGGCGAGGGGGACGCAGATGGTGGAGGCGAGGGCGAAGGCGGGGGATGCAGCGAGGACGGGAAGCTGATGGAGTTAGTGCCCGCTGTGACTGCAGGAGGCGGAAGGCAGGGCGCTTCAGATAGGCGGCGGCGCTGCGTTGCGAGTGAAGGATCGGCAACGCGCTCGATCGATGATGCGTCGACGGCATCAGCGATGCGAGCTCCTTTTACATGGTTGGTTGGAAGTGTTGCCGCATTGAAGCGCGAGTAGGCAAACTCGGTGGAGTGGATACTCGCTACCTCATAGTCCGACGCCGTGCCCTCGATGGCGCCCTCGGCTTGTGCGCTGGTGGTGAAGTATCCCGACCAGGGGTAGTGGTCCTTCTTGCCGTCCCGGCGATGGCGGGCGGCAAAGGATTGGCCGACGATGCCATGCGGGCGATCAGAGGCAATGGCGTCGCCACGAGCGCTAATGCTTATGTCTATGCGGTGCCGGGGTCCGGCCACGAGGCAGCTTCCAACCCACGGGTGGGGTAAGGACGCATCCCTCGGGCTATCACAAGACGGCATCCCCCTGACTGTGACTGTCCAGTTGCCAAATGCAAACGTGGCGCTTGAATAGCCCATGGCCATTTCGAGATCGAAGCATTTTTTGTGTCCGCGGCGGCCAAACTTGAATGCGTTGTGGAGGCAGGTGCCGTTGATTACCCGCCAGCCGAAGTTGTCCTCGTTCAGCTCCGACGCCCAGAAGGAGGCCTTGGCAAATCCTCGGTTTGCGAAGCGCGCGACAATGTGGGCCTCGGTGAGGAAGGAGCCATTCACTGTGAGGGTGCCCTCGTATACCTTGAAAACCGCCTCCTCTGTCTTGACGTTAAGTGTAAAATTTGGTAAGGACAAGAAGCTGTACAGCGCATTGTGCTGGCCGCGGAAATCTGCAGAGCCGCCGTGGGCAAAGTTGAGATGCGGGTCACGAAACACCTCTGCGCTGAGGTCGCATGCGGGGTTGTCCGAGGCCAAAGACACACAGCAGAGGGCCAGCATGCTGAGGAACCGCGTCAGCTAAGAGCCGTCGACTTGTGAGCGCAGGCGCGGTGGTGCTTCCTTCAGGCTGTTTGTTCGCTACAAGTGCTTACGATCGGCTTCTTCGTTTATGCCTTATGCGGCTACTACTTCTACTACTTCACCTTCACTCCCTTCCTACATACATACATACTCCCACCACTGACTCCTACTACTACCACTACTACTACTTACTAATATAGTTTGTAGGTATGTTGTTATATAGATATACTCGAGTAGTAGTAGTCGTACCATACCAACCAACAGTTAATAAGGCAAGCATGTGACCAGACGACGTACTCCCACCCCTCCCTGCCTTGACAACAACAAAACAATCTGCCTTGAGCCTCGGTGCATTCCTGACGTACTCCCACCCCTCTGTGTGTCTCGCGCCTTGCTCACAGAAAGAAAGAAAGAAAACAGACAACCCAAGGGAGGGATGGACGGCACGCCGCCACCACACAGGGATTTTAAGGAGAGGTGTGTGATGCGCTAGCCGTCGCCCACCCTAGGGAGTCTGCCTCTTCCTATCTCTCTTCGCAGTCTCTCGCCGCTTCTCGCTGCAACCTTCATGCCACCTCGCGGTCGTCCCACTCTCGTCTTGGAGCACTTGGAGTGCAGTCAGTAACCTCACATCCAGGGCCGGGGAGCTAAGAAGCGCACCCAGTTGGCCGGACGCTCGGCATCGGGTTACGGGCTAGAGAGCCCTAGCCCCGGGGGTGCGCGGTCGCAGGGCCATAACACGGGTCTCCGAGGCCGTGCTTTTTCGGTCGCAAAAAGTCGACGCCAGAGTCGACTCGTCCACCATCGCAGCACCACGGGGCGGTCAAAAAATCCGCTCGCGTCTGCTGTGAGGAGTACCAGCGCCGCACCAAGATGCCAGGCAAGCGGCCGCGCACCGCGGCCGCCGCCAGCAGCTTCGACGAGAGCCTCGACGATCTCGAGGTGGCGGTCGCGCGGATTAGCGGCGCCGAGCCGCACTCCGTTAGTGCCGATCAACTGCGGCGGCTCAAGGAGCTGAAGCATCTCCTGTTCCGTAAGGAGATGGAGGTTGATTCGCTGGCGCGCGCCAAGAAGCGAGCGCGCGTGGCTGCAGAGGTGGTGCTGCCGCTCGACCTCCTCACGCACGCCTTTTTGCCGCTGGATCTCAAGTACCTTGTCGCCGCGAGCCAGACGTGCCGTCACTTCAAGCTCGCCGTCAGCCGCGCAGTGACGGTGCGCGGCAACCAGATCGGGCTGCGGCAGGGAGACGCGGAGAAGCTTAGTCTCAAGACGCTCGCGCCGCTGGAGGAGAAGGCCGCTCAGGTGCGCGCGCTGATGGCGTCCATCGACCAGCGGTCGAGCCAGCAGCAGCTGATTCGCCTCCTATCTGCGCGGTCGGGCGGCAGCAGGGAGGAGCGCGCCCTGGGGCCGCTGCTGCTCTGCCGGCACGAGGCGGCGCTGTGGGCGCGCGTGGAGGTTAGAGCCCCTCCCTCCGGCACCACCCCACCCGCCCTCCCCTCCAGCCCACTCGCCAACGCCACCGCCGTATCCAACTGGTCGCGCCGCCACACCACCTGCGCTACCGTGCGTGGAGGCGCTCGTCAAGAAGGACGCGCACCGCACCCCTCGCGCGCCCGACACCTTCTTCGAGGACCTGAACTTCGAGAATGGCGTCGCCGACCAGGTAGGGCGAGACACAGAAACCTCCATACTAGAGCCTCGAATCCATCGTGTAGAATGATGCGTGCCGGCCGTTTGAGCTTCTCCCACGACTGTTTCCCGACCAGGCGAACGCATACGAGACCTACCTCGACTCGCTGGTGCACGGCCCAGCCCCCCCCCCCACCCCCCCTCCCCTGCCCCCTCCCCTGCCCCCTCCACTGCCCCCCGCTCGCCGCGGCAGCTGCCAGACTTGCCTCGGGGCCGCTCTCCTATGGTTTAGCGCATCTAACGTGGAAGGGGAGGGGTATGTTGGGAGTACCCTCAGGGAGGAGACTTGACCGGAAGGCTCTGGTGTGGTGGTGGCCGGCCCGAGTGATAGACATGCTTCCGACGGGGTTGGGTTTGCCGCCGCCGGAAGGGGCCGAGACCGAGCGGTGGCACCACACGCGCAGCACACTCCACGGCCGAGAGTCAGCAGCGCACTCCACGCCGCGGGGCACGAACACGCACACATGGCTTTCCACCCGCCCGGAGGGGCAAAACTGTGCACGGTACCATTGCCACCACGGACTTCACCACCGCCCTTACCTGGCTTTGCCGCGGCCGCCGCCTTTACCGCCACCGCCCCCCCCCCCCCCCCCGAGGTTCCCGAGCTTGATCACCTCCTCTCGCTCCTCTCGGGCGCGACAGCGCTCGCGTCCGCAGCGACGGTGTGGGGAGAGACGCCGCTCACACCCCTCGAGCCGTCGTATGAATAGGCTTGACGCGCCGCGCGACACGCGCCGCCGACTCCGCTCTCCTCGTCTCGCACGCGCCCACCCTCGTGCAGCACGGCCGCCCTAGATGCCTCTCCTCTGCGCCTTACACTGCCGTCGGCCGTGACTCACTCTTCTCTTCCTCGCCTGTCCGGGAGGTGTACTAGTGCGCACGGGCGCCTAGATGCGGAGAGGGGCGTGGCGACACGCACGCGCGCGCACACGCACGCACGCACGCACGACCACCAGAGACAGCGCGGCATCCGGAAAACCACCGCCACTGCCTCGTCTGTATCACTGCCTGCCTCGATGTGTGTATACCCGGATGCTTGCTCTCACTGGCGCACTCACTGGCTCAAACTCGTCGCTCCTCCGTGGATGAGTGAACACGACTGAGGAGTCCATTCACCGTTGTAGGCTCGTCACCGCCTCCGTCGACGAAAAGATTGCCTGTGACGCGTTCTCGATCTGCCGCTTCCGCGAGCGCGTGCCCGAGAACGCCCCCTTCACGCGCGCCTGCTCACCGCAGAGGGCGGGTCCAGAAGCCGCACGTTTTGAGACCCCGCGACCGCCGCCGGGCAGGCGCGCTTACTTGGCCGCTGACCCGCAGTTGGGCAGCTTCAAGCGGATGCTCAGCCTCGCCGGAAGGGAGAACGAGCCGCGGCGCGACAACTTCCATAGCGTCGACCCGTCGCCGTCGCGCTCCCTCGTCAGTCTCGTCCTCATCCACGCGCTCAAGGCGCTGCCAAAGGCGCAGCCCCCCCCCCCCCCCCCCCCCCCGACCTCTGCTGAAGGTCCGACGCGATGCGCGGTTCCAGACATGTCATGTACAAGCCGTGAGGGCGTGCCACGCGCCGTCAGAAGCAGAAGTATAGTAGCACGAGATCGGTAAGGTCTCGGTGTGGTCACTCGTTTGCTTTTGTTCGCTCCAGCCCTGCGGGTCTTCATACATCATAGTAGACCGGAGGGCTACGAACTTCGAAAAAGCGCAAGCCTTTTTCACACACGGACACACACCCCCCGGCCCCGCCGCGCGCACTCCTCCAGGGGGGCTGCGTTTTTGTGTGGTAGCTATGGGCCATGGCCTACGTCAGTATGCGACGCTCCGCGCTCTCAGGGGCACACAGAGTAGCCAACAAGCATGACGAATTAAAAGTGGCCGAGCGCGCAGGACTCCAGGCCCGGCCCCTCTGCGCCCCTGAGCTGTAGTACCCGCCACCCCACCCATCCGGTCCCCCGACCTACCACCCCATAACTGACACGTGACAGCCTGACACCATCCCTCTCCCACCTGGTCTCCCACGCCCTGGACACACAGCAAACGCCTCGTTCGGGTCCGTTCGCGAGATGCAGGCAGTGGTACCGAGCGCCCCCTCGCCCTCGCTCGCCGCTCGGGGACTGGTTGCCTCTAGACGACGCAGGGCAGAAGACGGTGAGGCGGAGCAGACGCGCAGGGCGAGACGAGGGAGGGAGCAGGACTTTGCGGAGATCAGCAGGAGGATGTACGAAGAGATTAGGAGCAGCAGGGACCCGAGGGACCATGTGGAAGACGGCTAGTGCTAGTCCCCCACCGGGAGGACGACCCCGGCTAGTCGCCGACCACACCCACAAAGAACCCTGCACAAAGATCGCAAGGGCGGGGGCCTGTTCCTTTTTACCCATCTCACAGTAGAGAGGTGTCCGTTTTTATTTATTTATTTAAGCGTGAGGACACGAGTTCGAATTCGTAGGAGCATCTGAGCAAAATTGAGCCCGCTCAGGTGTGAACAAAAAATATAAGGGTCGACCAGGTTTCGAACTGGGGACCTCCCGCCAGCGGGAAGGCTTCCATCAAGAGACGCTGCGGTTGAGACGAGGTCTCCGTTCTCAGGAAACCTATATAGCATACCGGAGGAATTAGACACCACAGATACGCACACACCGACGCCCGAAGTGCCAAGAAGGACGTCATTAGTACGAAACCTCAGAAGGCCATGGGCGCCGAGAGAACATTCCCCCGAGAGGACAAAAAGAAAGGCGTCGCACCCCCTCCTTGCGCAGTGTCCCCCGCTATGTGTCGCCGTAATCGGGGCACGCTATATCCTGTGCAGTCAGGGCAAGCGGGGGCGAGGCGCAGTCCCTCTGGTCTATACTGGTGTGGTTCTGTCCCTAGTCTCGGAGGGGGGCAAAAAGATAAGAATATCTAATTTTGGGATCAGTTGAAGCCTAAAAATGGCTACAAATATAGCCACAGCAGCTGCTAGTCGTGAGCTGCTACTGTGTGGAAGAGAGAGGGCTTTCAGGAGCAGTATTCAATTTGATCCAGCTCAACGTTGCGGAGTAGTAACACTGTTCCGTTACCGTAAGCGGCCGGCGGCCGGCGGCGGCCGGTGCGGCACGCGGAGCACTCCGTGAGCGGTGACGGGTGCGGACGAGCGAATGAGAGGTCTCTTTCAGCGAGAGATAGGCAGTCCTAGTCTCTAATAACACATCTCCCACAGATAACGACCTCTCATTCGCTCGTCCGCGCCCGCCACTGCTAGTCGGGGCACTCCCGGCGTGCGGCCCGGTCCCGGTCGTCAACTCCGGTTGCTCGTGTTCACACCGATCACCGTCAGAACTCAGCTCCGCAAAGATTCAGTGTCTGAGACTTGGGCATCTTACACAACCTTTGTAGTAGAGCACAATGACACCCTTGGATCAAGTGGATCACTTCATTACTGGACCGTACTGGAGGGCCCCTGTTTTCGGCCGCCGCGGCCGGAGAGCACCCCCGTCGCCCCCGGGGGCCCGTCGACACCCCAGGGGGGGTGCGCCAGTGGTACCCGTCAACTTCCTCCCACAGCTCCCCGCAGTCGCGCCGCTCCCGTGCTCCGACCCTCGACGATCCAGATGCCTACAGCCCAGGACTCAGCTCCGACGACGGAGAAGCGTCGTCGACGGCCGACTACGCCAATCCGACGAACGGATCCGTCGAACAAATGGACGACTCGGTCGTCTGACCACTCCATGCTCGCCTGGGTGACCGGCGTTAAAATACCATTCATCCGTCAGAGAAGGACTTCTTTGACTAATGGAGAACCACCCGCCCGCCCCTAGTGATGTTGATACGTTGATGGCGCCAGCGCCTGCCGTTCCTGTTGACAAGTGGGGAGCAGACGGCTTCATACGAAGCTGCCCCCAGCAGGCGTCTTGACGGGTATCAAAAATTCTTCCCTACAAAAGAGGCCAACGGACCCGAGAATATACCTTCTCGCAGCTGCGAGACGAGCTTTCTCGGAGCGACAGCCTCAAAGAAAAAAGGGTGGATGGGTGGGGGGACGATCGCTGGTGAGCACCAGCGCGCCAAGAACGGTGGGGTGCCCTCGACCGCGCGTCCGAGTCACTTGGGCGGGCAGCGAGCGGCACATGGCGTGACACAGACAAAGAAATCGAAGTGTGGCGAAAAGAAATCAAATTGTGGCGAAAAATAAAGTCACTCGACAAGTAGATTTGCCCGAGGGTTAGCCCCGCGTACTACTCGGTGACGGAAGCGCTTTGCGAGACGCCTACCGGTGTGCACGGGCGCGGATGCGGGCGGGGGCGCGGATGCGGGCGGGGGCGCGGATGCGGGCGGGGGCAAGGGACGGGCGAGAGGCGGCGGGGGCAAGGGGCGGGTGAGAGGCGGCGGGGGCAGGGGCGGGCTGGGTGGCGCGCAAGGGCAATTTTTGGTCGTTGTTGGGGCGCGGGAGCCCGCGCTTTTCTTTTATCCGTTGTAGAATTCTCCCCCCCCCCCCCCTCCTCAACCAGAACTGTGCGTGTAGCCCCTTTTCCAGACCATCGCAACGCTCTGGGCACTTGAGCACTGGATAGGGTTGATTCCGCATGGTACGGGACCCCTCGATCGTCTCGCCCTCCCTCTCTCACTGGTGTGTTTGGGGGGGTCATGACAAACACGGTAGACTTCACCCAGAGTTCACCCAGACCGTACACAGAGAAGAGACGCGGGCACTCGAGCTTGGGGACACAGTCGGTGGTGCAAAAGACTACCATGGCGACTGGTTCCTCAACAACGCCGCCCGGCGGCGCCCACACGACGGCGTACTTCGCGCCTGGTACGATTGTGTCGCCGCCGTCTCCATCTCCCGGCCCGTTATGGGAGATGCCGAAAAACCAGAACTCACCAAACAGTTCAACGAGGGCTACAAAACTGACCTGGCTGAGCCGGGCGAGGCTCCCGGGGGCAAAGACGAGATCAGTGAGGTCAAACTTTGGACCCCCCTCCGGGGTGGCTTGCCTGTTGGGGTCGGCCGCGCCGACACCGGAGGCAACCCCGGCTCCGTTGGAGACAAGTTCGCCTTCGGCAACACCGAAGAGCGCGCCCGCCTTGCAAACATGGGCTGCAAGCAACGCGGGTTCCGTGGTCAACGTGCGTTCGACCACACCACCGGCCAAGGCTACGTCAAGTCGCAGCGTGGCCACTACCATGACGGGATCTTCGGCAAACGAAACAAGTTCAACCTGCTTCTCCACGAGACATTCGGCGGCGGCTTCTCGCCGCCTGCAGTTGCAAAGATCAACCGCCTTGCGCGCAAGGCTCAACGCTCGGGCGTTGACCGCACCGCGTACCCTCCCCACTCCCGCCTCTCATTTGTGTCACACCACGCGGAACGCATCTCCATCGCTTCGGTGAAGGGGGTGAACCGTGCCATCCTCGATCGCCGTGCTAAGCTCGCTTCCGAGCTCTCACGCCGCGCGTAGGGCCCCTAGGGGCCTAGAGAACACAACCCCCTCTATCTTTTCTCCCAGTAAGCTAAAAGTACGTACGTACACAGCGGTCCCCAAGGGTGACGACCGAGAGAATTCACTGGATTGCTGCCCCCCCCGAAACAACGATGCCCGCAGTCGACTGCGCCCCCACGCCCAACGCCACGTGCTCTCGCGGCTGCCTCGTGTGGGCGGGCACCGCTCGCACGCTCGCGGACGCGCCCCAGGTCTTCCGGCGCGCGCGCGACACGGGCGCCATCCTCGGCCGGGATGGTTCGCAGCGCACGCTGACCCTCGCAGCGAGCCAGAGCTCGCGTGGGCTGCTGAGCGTGACGGCGCAGGCCGACGGCTCGGCTCGGATCAAGCAGGCGTCGTGGCGGCCGCTGCTGCGGGCTCCGTCGGGAAAGCCGTCCTTTTCATTTGCGGTGCCTCGTGGCGCGAGCCTCTTCCCAGCCCGCGACCCGCTGGCGGTCGGGCGGCGGTTCGCGACGTGCGCCGTCGTCGGCAGCTCCGGCGCAGTGCTCTCTCCTCGCCCGCCCTGTGGCCGCGCGATCGATCAGCACGAGGCTGTCTTCCGGATCAACACTGCGCCGGTGCGCGGGTTTGAGGAGTACGTCGGGTCGCGCGAGACCTTTCGCGTCCTCAACGGGCCGTACGAGCAGTACGTTGCAGGGCTGCCTGCAGCCTACCCCAGGGGGTGGGGCACCCCCCCACCCGACGGCTCGCCGGTGCGTGTCCTCGCCGACGTGACGAGCGCGGAGAATGCGCGCCAGTGGGCGGCCCTCGCAGAGGCGTGGCGGCGCGCGGCGGGCCCGAGGCGAGCGAGGGCGCAGCTGCTGCTCAAGGACCACGCGGTGCTGCACTACTACCTCGCCCTGCTCGGCCACCCGCGCCACCGCCCAGATTACCCCTCCACCGGCTTGCTCGCCATCCTCGTCGCGTCGCTGCGCTGCGACTCTGTCTCGCTCTTCGGCTTCACTTTCCACTCGGGTCGCAACCGGGCGCAGTATGCGGCCGGCTCGTGCGAGCACGTCTACCACTACTACGAGCGCCTCGGGTGGAGGAACCAGCTCAAGTCGCACAATCTCACCGCCGAGGCGGACGCCGTGCGTGCGCTCGAGGCGGCCGGCGTGGTGCGCTGCTCAGGCTCGGCCGCCGCGCCGCCGCGCCAGGGTAGGCGGAGGCGATACCCGCCGAGAGGGCGGGGCTTCCGGCGGGCCAAGCCGAGGGCGGGCCAAAGCACGACGAGACCGCCGAAGGGCACACAGCCCCCCAGGGCCAGGCTGACGTAGACACGTAGATAAGTGTGACGAGTGACGTGTCAATTCGCGGATCTGCGCGCTGTCTGAGTGCGTCTGTGACTGTGTCTCGTGTGACGTTTTTTACCATCCTTTCACCGGGTGTGTATTGGTCTCAAAAACACAAAAAAATCTGTTTCTGAGTCAAAGCGGCCTCTCCTCTGCGCTCTGGCGGACACGCCCCCAGCCTGGCCGCAGTGCGCAGAGCCAGAGGCTCCGTCTCTCGGTCTCGCGTCTGGCGTCTGGCGTCTCTCGCCGTCTGCTGGCCTGTGAGGGCTCGGTCCCGGTATGAAGCATGCCCCCCCCCCCCCCCCTGGCATCTCGCGACCCCCGCCCCCTTCCCCTTGCGCGACATGTCGAATGAGCACTGGCAGCGCAAAGCCTACCGCGCGTGAAGCCCCCCGCCTGTCGTGCTTCGCAGGCGCCTCCGCCCCTCGCCACGGCCAGACGGCCACACAAGCCCGCCGCTGCCGTCGCCCCCTCCCAACCCGCCTCCGCCTTGGCGAGGCTCACACCCACGGCACGGGCAGCGGCGCCGCAAACGCGTAGTGCCCGTGGGGCGGGTAGTGGGGTAGGTGGCGCGGCGAGAGGGGCCCGTGAGGCGCCATCATCGGCGAGGGCATCGGCGAGGCCAGCGGTGAGGCCATCGGAGAGAAGGCGTGGCCAGGCGCGTACGGCGAGCCGGGCGAGCCGTCCAGCATGCCGGGCGGAAGCTGCATCGGCACGTACTCGAACGCGCACGGCGTCCCCATCGCGGGTGGAGCCATCGCCGGCGGCGCCAGTGCGGGCGGAGGCCGCATCCCGGGCGGCAGCTGGAAGTGCTCCAACGGCAACCCCAGCGGAGGGACCACCGGAGGGTGAGGAGATGGTGGCCCGCATCCGGACACGACGGGCACGAACGGCATCGCCGACGCGTTGAGGGTGCGCCGCTCGCTGCCCCCGCCGCGGACAGCACGCACTAGCACCTCGCCGCCGCCTCCGCCGCCGCCGCGGTGCCTGCGGCCCCTACGCTGCGCGGGGAGGCCGGACGCCTCGGTCTCGGACCGGCGCTCGCTTCGCTCGCTCGCCGCCGCCGCCGCAGCGCTCTCGGCCTGGCGCTCGCGGGCGTTGAACGCGCGCTGTGGAAGGGGGGGGGGGAAACGGACGGCGAGAGGGCGGGGGGTCAGTAGCGGGAGGAGGGGGGCAGATGTGTGTGTGTGCTCTTTGGGGCGGTGTATGTATGGAGGGGGGGCGGGGGCGGGGGGGCGGGGCGGGGGGGGGGCGGGGGGGGGGGTGTCGCGCCTCGCGCTGCCTCGACTCCTCGAGCATCTCGTCGAGCATCCACTGCTCGGGCGCACGCGGCTTGTCCTGCAGCACCAAGACGGGCGGGGGGGGGAGGGGGGGAGAGCGTCGAAAGGGGTGATTCGGGGGAAGCCCATCCCTCTCCCTCGCCCCGCCCCGGTGCGCAACACACCTCCGTTGCGAGGTCGTCCTCGCCGTGCGCGAACCTGTGGGAGGGAAGGAGGAGCCGGTCGGGGGCAGTTTAGTCAAGATGAGCAACCTTCCCCCCCGACCAAGGGCTGCGTGCGCCAGCAGCGCTCGCCAAACTCGCAGGTGGCGGGCGTGCCCTTGAGCCAGCGTGAGCACAGCGTCGTCTTGTACTTGTTCGCGTTGAAGGCGCGCAGCAGCGAGCGTGACCCCTTGTGCTTCGCCTTTGCGGGGGCACCGCTGCGCCAGGACGCCGCCGTTGAGTAGGTCGGAAGGCTTTGCGTCCGTGCGCTGCTGCTGCGCGGCACCTCCTGACACACGTCGGCGGGGCGGCGAGGGCTCTGTGGGCGGGGTCGAGCAGGGGCGGGGCGGCCACGGGGCGAGCACACCTCAGAGACTCGCAAGCCGTGCAGCGCCTCGACAAAGCCCTCGGTCACCTCCTTCTCGATGCCACTCTCCACGCGCGGCAACTCGACGTGGAGGTCGCCAACTCCCTGCATCCACGGGTAGCCGGTGGCGCCCTCTTCCGGTTCCGCTCCCTCCGTGGAGTTTGTCTGTGAAGCGGCCCTTGCAGCCGCCTCCGCTGCAGCCGCAATGTGCACAGCCGTCACCTCCAGCATGCCTGTCACCTTCCTGCCCCTGGCGGCTGGATGCGTAGGCTGTTGTTCTTCCTCCTCACGGCATGCGACGCACGCCTCATTGCACGCCTTGGCGGAGGGAGTGTCGGTCGCAGCCATCAACGCGTGATAGACTGAGTTTCGGAAGGCTCTGGAAAAAATTCAACGCGGCGGCTGGATGTGAGAGAGAGAGAGAGACACATGGATGTGCGGTTAATGACTGCACTCCAAGTGCTCCAAGCACTCTCTCTCACAGCACACAGGTTCGACACAGGTACGCCACGGTACCAAAAGAAACCTGGAAAAATCATCTTACTTTTTTCCCGTGGGAATTTTGCGCCATTTAGTAGGGCCCCAAGACGATCACTGTACACTGAGTAGCAGAGTAGGCCCAAAATCCCCACTGGGCCAGGTAGAGTAACCCTACTTAGTAAGGGCCCGGGCGGGGCGTCTACGCCCTTATTAGGGTACCCGGGGATTTTGGACGGATAGAAAAAAGCCCTCCTCTCATGGCTGACCCTGGGCATGGCCTCTCTGGGGATGTGTATCGCGCGCCTTGCGGGGGGGGCGCGGAAAAGAGGAACCTCTTAGCGCCATCGCCACGGTGCTGCATGCAGCGCCGGGCGACGACGGCGTACCGCCTCCCGGTCCCCCTCGGCACACCTCCGCTGCTCAATGTTTGACGGCTCGAACCCGTGAAGCTTCCCCGTGCGCGGGTTACCCCGCACACGGGTCAGCCTGCCAGCCACGTATCCACGCAAGCGTGGTCCGCGTGCATGGCTGACGCCTGTTACAGTCTGATGCGGGCATTAAGAAAACAGGATCGCGCGGCACGCCGCCGTTTGCGTTTCTAAGGACTAAGCCTTTCCACCCACCCCACCCACCCCACGCCGTGGTTTCTTAGCTTCGATCGAGAGAGCCGGTGTGTGCCACATTTCTTGTTGGCTTCTAAATCTCTCTCTCTCGACCGGCACCCCAGGTCAGCCGGGATCCTAGGAATTTTTAGGTAAAATGACAATAAGGAAGCGCTGGACCGATGCGCCAGTCAGCAGTCTTGGGATGACAGGAAGTCAGGAAGACGCACACACCTCCATCCACACCGCCCAGAACACCGCAGACTTGGGCAAAATGACAAGTGCGCCGCGCCGCAGGCGAAGAGAAAATTTGAGCGGGGCTCCTGTTCATTCACACTCGTGTGTGGGCCCTTTCTTGGCAAACCTGTATTTTTTTGTTTTGGGTACATTCCCGTCGGAATTTTGCTGGCCTCCTAATTTTGCTGGTGTACCGTAGGCGTAGCGCAACGAGGGTAGCCGATTACGGGCACCGGAACAGTTTAATTTAAACTGTGACGCCCACGCACCTTGCCCTGAGTTTCTAACAACGTGTCCCTACCTAGGAATAGGAGAGGGGCGCTCACGCCATCGCCGGCGGTGGCAAGCGGGCGAGGCGGGGAGGCGCTGTCGCGACGTGGGAAGAAGGCGGTGGCGAAGGAGGCGGGCGAGGCGGCATCACGCGAGGAAGGCGAGGCGATTTATCGCGCGACGCTCGAGTCGCTGTTGGCGTCCACCGGGTGGACGCCGCGCGCCGCGGAGGAGATGGCGCGCGAGGAGCAGCGTGCGCATGTTCGGCAGATGCGCTGGGCAAGGGAGCACGGCCGGGGGGAGCCGGTCCGGTGCTTTGACGCGGAGGAGTACGGCGACGGCGACGACGCTTTCGACGCGCTCTACGGTCTACGCCGGGGGCTCGGGGTACGGGTGGGATTCCTCTGCGGGGGGCGGCGCCTTCTTCTAGGCGCCCACTTGAGCCTTGACCCAACATAGAGGGTTGTGTATAGTAGCCTAGCCTTGATTGATTGATGGGAAGGCGAAACCCAGTCCGACCGACGACTGGGACACCAACGCGGAATGGGTGGACGCAGGACGGGCGATGACGGTCTAGCCTTTGGTTGAAAAAAATGGTCACCCAAGCGGATTCCCTTTGTGGTCGCTCGGCGCCCGTCCCCCCGCAACCAAACCCAATGTTGAGATGGAGTGGCTACCGTGCCGCCCGGGTTGCACGCGCGCCGACTCAGCGATGGCTCGCGTCGCTGAGCTACGTTGCCGCCGACAACAGCCGGTGGTCTGACCCCAGCCTGTACCAGGCCACGCGCCGGTCAGTGGATGAGGCGCGCACACGCCGCACCGCTCCACTCTCCAGTGCCGTGCTGATCTCCCACCCCGCTCGCCAGGCGAGCACGCTACCGGGCACGGTCTACCATGACAAAGAGTGCGGTACTAGATGGAGAAACTTGCTCTCCCGACGAACATGCTATGCGTCATTTTACGTGTCTGTGCGCGACGCAGGTTTGCACAGCTGGAGGAGGAGCGCGTGTTCCGCAGCAGCTGGGTGGCGGCGGCGGAGCTGTGCGACGTGTCAAAGCCTGGGGACGTGATGCCGGTCAACGTCGGCGGCGCTTCGCTTCTACTCGCCAACGATGGGGGCACGGTGCGCGCGTTCCACAACGTGTGTCGCCACCGCGGCGCAAAGCTGGTCGAGGAGCCGTGCTCCAAGCGGCGCACCATCCTCTGCCCCTACCACCGCTGGGGCTACGCGCTCGACGGCCGGCTGATCGCGACGCCCTCCTTTGATGACACGGCGGACGGCAGGCGGATTCCCGAGCACATACGCCAGAAGGCGCGCAGCGCCAAGCCGCACCGTCCCTCGCAGCCTCGCCCGCCTTTCTTGCGGCCCTGCCTGATCCGGTCCCACACGGTGCGCCGCCCCGCCGCTCCGTTTACACGCACACACTGATCTGTTGCTCCCGCAGTTCTGCACCTCGCACGTCAAGGACTTCGACAAGTCGCGCAACGGCCTCTTCCCCGTGAGGGCGGACTCGGCGCTCGGGCTCATCTTTGTCAACGTCAACGGCGAGTCCCGCC